GAAGCGCGCGCGGAGAGGATCTAAATTGGGGTTCGGGGTTCTGGGTGTTTCGTATCTCACGCGCTGGGAGAACCCCGGGGTGAGGCGGAAGCGCGCGCGGAGAGGGTCGACGCGGGGGGTCGGGGCCCGGGGTGCCGCGTATCTCGCGCGCTGGGAGAACCCCGGTGTGAGGCGGAAGCGCGCGCGAAGAGGATCGAAACTGGGGGTCGGGGTTCGGGGGGCCACGTATCTCACGCGCTGGAGAAGCCCCGTGGTGAGGCGGAAGCGCGCGGAGAGGATCTAAACTGGGGTTCGGGGTTCGGGGTGTCTCGCATCTCACGCGCTGGGAGAACCCCGGGATGGGGCGGAAGCGCGCGCGGAGAGGATCGACGTTGGGGGCCGGGGCCCGGGGTGCCACGTATCTCGCGCGCTGGGAGAACCCCAGTGTGAGGCGGAAGCGCGCGCGAAGAGGATCGAAACTGGGGGGCGGGGCTCGGGGCGCCGCGTATCTCATGCACTGGGGTGGCCCCATGTCGAGACGGAAGCGCGCGCGGAGAGTATCGAAATTTGGGGTCGGGGTTCGGGAGGTCACGCATCTCACGCGCTGGGGGGGCCCCCCGGGTGGGGCCGAAGCGCGCGGAGAGGATCGACAATGACCAGACGGACGCTTGGCGCGACGGAGGGGGGGGGGATCTGGGGCGAGCGCCAGAGGCGCGGGGGAGGCGCCCTCCTCTAGCGCGCGCGCAGAGGCGGGGGACTGCAGCGGCGGCCTTGGCCTTGGATGTAGGATGCATGTTTTGAAATATCAAGTAGGATCCAGTGCGGCGTCAGAGGGCCCGCGGGGGGCTGGGGGTTCGCGGCGTCTGCCGTCGCGAGAGCGCGACGCTATCCGACGGTGCCCGCGGACATGGCGGACCCCGCGCAACCGCGGCCAGACGCGCTGACAGAGGACATGGCAGTCGAATGACCGGGAGTGCATTTTTTGCGTTCGCGGGCCGCGCCTGGCGGCCAGAGGGCGTCGACGAGGTGCGCGGGCGCGCTCGCGGAGACTACCGGGGCATTTTGCTTTGCGCACTGCGGAGATGGCGAACTCTTCGGGCGCGGGCGATGTGCTTCGCGTCGCGGCGACGTATCGCGAATGCGTTGCGCGCGCAGTAGTCGGGGCGCGGCGCCGCTTTCTGCGCATTCGCAGGCGGAGCTTGCTGCAGTGCGCCAAAGCAACGGGGAGTAACATCTTCGCGCCCCCCATCTGTTTCCGCGCGCGTGTGCGCGTCTCCCTAGGTGAGCGGAAAACGCGGGAATCATTGTGAATCGGGGCGATTAGTTAGGCCAACCTCAGTGGATGCCACGGTGGTCGGCAAGTATGGCGGGTGGGCAATGTCAGAGGTGAGATCGCGGCTCGCCATGGAACCGAGCTTGAGAGAGTATCTGTCCAAACCAGGGAATGCCGCGCTAGACCTTGGGAGCGGCGCGTCGCGTGAGCGAGCGGAAACTTGTGCGATGGGTTCGCGGCCGCGGCCGCGGCCAACGGCGATGTGAACGCGTTGCATTGCCCGAGGGATAGGACGTGCATGAGGGGATGTGCAGAGAAGGGGGCGGCGTGCTCAGAATGCGCGGCGCCTTCGTGCGCAGAGTGCGCAGTGGAGATGGGCGGGCCGAGAAGGGCGCGATCGGCGGCAGTTCCGACGCCCCCCCGCCGGAGTCTGACAACGATCTGATGGCATTCTCTGCGCCAGGCCGCGCGTGCACAGGCGTGACAGTCATGGGGATTATCTGTTGCGGTCCTAGCATTGCGTCGACGATCTGATTCTCGTTGGAAGATATTTCTCAGGGAGGTGATGGTGGGGGGCGAAGGGCGAGGAAGGAGGCGTTATCCGACGCTGTCGCAGGCCTCCACGACGGGCGTCTGGCTGCGCGGGGCAACGCCATGTTGCCGCGGCAGGGGGCGAGTTCCGGAGGCTGGGGGGGGGGGGAACGCGGGCAGGGGGCGAGTCAGCGATGCCGCGTGCTGGCGAGAAATTGGGGTCCGCCATCCACATCTTGTTGAAGATCATCGACTCCACGTCGAAGGGCAAGCTCCTTCGAAGCGCGGTCGCAGGGCGCATGCGAACATCGATGTGAAAACCATTTGGCGAAAGGCCGATCAGTTGCCCAAGGGTGGCGCGCTGCCCGGAATCGCGCGGCTGCTGCCGCGCGATTCGGCGCTGGGCCCGGGGCGCGAGACTCCGTTGACGCAGCCGCTTCGTATTGCGTCGACTTTGTCGAGAAACAGAGTTTCGCATTGCGTTTGGCAAGTGCATAGTCAGAGTCCGTTGCCCCCCTGGATCTGGAGACCCTGCGCGGGTTCCGCGAGCGTGACATCTGTCGCGGCCTGCGGTCCATCCCGGCATGGTCTTGAGTCAAAGTCTCCGGGGGGTTCGCGGGGTCTCATCGGAGCGCTTTCGGGGGGCTCGGGGAGGGGCGGTGCCTGATGATGCGTTTCTGTTTTTTTTGGGGGGCGTTCAAGTTTATTCCGCGGCTGACGCTCGCAGCGTTCGCCTCGCGCGCGCGGAGAAACGGGCGGGGGCCCGCGTTCGCAGACGGCAGGAATATGTCAAAACATCAGAGGGGCGATTCTCGCATGGCCTGCGGCCCGTCCCGCCGCCGTGCTTGGGTTGTGGGTGCAAATCCGCTCGGATGGCTGATGGGGTCTCGTGTGAAGCCTCCCGGGGGCGTCTTGGAGGCAGTTATTGGTCCTCTTTGTGGCGCTTCAGGGGGTCTCTTCCGTGCCGGTTTTGGCCCTCTTTGTGCTTCCTGGGGGCGTCCACTTTGGATCTTGTTGGGGCAGCCTGGGGGCGGGCGTGAAATTTCTGTGCGCCCCCCCCCCCCCCCCTCTGGGCCCCCTCTTGGGAACGTGTTAGGTCCCTCTTGGGCTGGCTTGTGTGTGTGTGTGTGTGTGTGTTTTTCGGCGGTCTTGGGGGCTCTTTGGGCCGTCTTGGAAACCTCGTGGGGGCCTGTTGGGCCGTCTTGGGTGCAGTGAAAGTTCATGAGGCGGGAATGGTGCACATGTTTTTTCCCAACCATCCTGCTGTGTTGGGTCCTCGTTTTGAAGGGAGAACGCCCCGCGTCCCACCTTCCTTCCTCCTCCTCCTCCCCCTCCTCCCTCTCCCCCCTCCTTGCCTCTGCTCTCGGCGCACCCCTCGCGCGTTTCGTGGCCCCATAGGGAGCTCCACCGAAGGCCCCAGTGGTTCCTCTCGCGTGTGGTTCCCCCACCCAGGACGGCGTTTCGTGGCCCCAGAGGGGGCTCCACCGAAGGCCCCAGTGGGGGTGCTCGCATGCGGTTCCCCTACCCAGGGCAGCGTTTCATGGTCCCATCGGGAACTCCACCGAAGGCCCCAGTGGGGGTGTTCGCAAGCGGTTCCCCCACCCAGGGCAGCGTTTCGTGGCCCCATAATTAAGGAGTTCCGCCGATGGTCCAGAAAAGAGGGGGTCGCATGCGGCTCCCCCAACCAGGGCAGCGCTTCGTGGCCTCATAGGGAGTTCCGCCGATGGCCCCAGTGGGGGGGGTCGCAAGCGGTTCCCTGCCCAGTGCGGCGCTTCGTGGCCCCATGGGCACTCCACCGAAGGCCCCAGTGGGGGTGTTCGGGTTCCCCCACCCAGGGCAGCGTTTCGTGGTCCCATCGGGAACTCCACCGAAGGCCCCAGTGGCACAGTTTGCATGCGGTTCCCCCACCCAGGGCAGCGTTTCGTGGCCCCATAATTAGGGAGCTCCGCCGATGGTCCAAAAAAAGGGGGGTCGCATGCGGTTCCCCCACCCAGGGCAGCGCTTCGTGGCCCCATAGGGAGCTCCACCGAAGGCCTCAGTGGGGGTGTTCGCATTCGGTTCCCCTACCCAGGGCAGCGTTTCGTGGGTCTAAAGGGGGGGCTCCACCGAACACCCCAGTGGCTGCTTTCCTAAGGCGTCCCCCCACCCACGGCAGCGCTTCGTGGTCCCATAGGGAGCTCCACCGAGGGCGCCAGTGGCTGCTCTCGCATGCGGTTCCCCCGCCCAGGGTAGCGTTTCGTGGCCCCATAGGGAACTCCACCGAAGGCCCCAGTGGGGCAGTTTGCATGCGGTTCCCCCACCCAGGGCAGCGTTTGGTTGCCACACAGTGAGCTCCACCGAAAACCCCAGTGGCGCAGTTCGCATACGGTTCCTCCACCCAGGGCAGCGCTTCGTGGCTCCATGGGGAATTCCACCGATGGCCCCAGTGGGGGGGGTCGCATGCGGTTCCCCCGCCCACGGCAGCGTTTCGTGGCCCTATAGGGAAGTCCACCGAGGGCCCCTGTGGGGGTGTCCGCATGCGGTTCCCCCACCCAGGGCAGCGCTTCGTGGCCCCATGGGGAACTCCACCGACGGCCCCAGTGGCGCAGTTCGCATGCGGTTCCCCCCCCAGGGCAGCGTTTCGTGGCCCCATAGGGAGCTCCACCCGAAGGCCCGCCCCAGTGGCGCAGTTCGCATGCGGTTCCCCCACCCAAGGCAGCGCTTCGTGGCCGCATAGGGAGCCCCACCGAAAGCGACACCCACAACGCGTTACGAACAATTGCTTATGGTTAGGTCCTTCGCCAGGATAATTTTTTTTGGGGTCGGGGCGATGTTTGCATCTGGGGGCCCTTCGGGGGGCCTCTTGGTCTTGCAGCGATCTTTCGGCGTGTGTGTCTTGGAGTTCCAAAAGGGGCCCATGGAGGGCCAGACCCCCCATGCTGAGTTCGGCCGGGGGTCGTCCCAGCCCGGGGTGAGGAGGGGGAGGGGTCGAATTGCCAGATTGGGGTCCCGCGGGGGGATGTGGGGGGGAACAGCTTCACATGCCCAGAGACCCACAAAGGGTCGGCGCATTTTCCTTCGATCCCAGTCGGCCCGACACTTGCATGGCGCTGTTGTGCACCGTGGCGCAGCCCATCCGATCTGATTCCGACTCCGCGCGATGCAGTCCGAGCCGGGTTGCACTCCGATCCGTTTTGGTTTCCCAATGTGATGCTGTCTGATCCTGCCCCTCCCGAAGGTGGGCGGCGTGAGCTGCAGCGCGGTCCTCGAGGTGGGGTGCGACGACCCAGGCTACGTGGGCACGGGGATGATGGTGTGCGGCGTGGCCGCGACGCTGCTGGCGGAACGCTGGGCGCTGGACGCCGGAGAAGAAGAGCAAAGCATATGGAGCTGCCCCTTGCAGGGCGCGCGCGCGTGCCGTGCGCATCACGAGGCAGGTGGACAGGGATCGCGGAGGTGATGAGCAGCTGAGCAGCCTGGGGCATACTCCAGTGCACAGTGAAGCCCTACGCTTAAGTCGGGCCTGTCCCCCTGCAGGGGGATGTTCGACGAAAAATGAAAAATAGTATAAAAAAAGAAGCAAAATCCCCCCAAATGGTCAAACCATACTCAGAAAGTAGTCCCCCCGACTATTTTTGTATTATTTTTTGATTATTTTGGGGGTATTTTTTATTCTTCGTCGAAAATCCCCCTGTAGGGGGACACGCCCGACTTAACCCTGCGCGCCGCCACGCTGGTTGGGTGCAGGCCGTGATGCCCGGCGGAGTGGGGAGAGGAGGAGAGAAGCACTGTTGCAGGGGGTCCTCAAGACCCCCATTGAAGACCTCCATTGAAGACCCCCTGTTGCAGACCCCCTCCTTTACCAGCTCAAGACCCCCACTGAAGACCCCCACTGAAGACCCTGCTGCAATGGGGCCATTCGGCCCCCATCGAAGCTCGAACGGGAGCCTCCCCCAGGGTCCGACGTTTCGCACCCCTACCCATTAGCCAGTTCCCCTCCTTTCGACCCTCCTATGGGTATGGGTGTGAGTTGTTCGCTCGTCACTGTTGCAGACCCCCTCAGGGCTCGTTTCGATTCCTCCGATTCGAATCGTTTCGATTTCGATTGCTTCCGATTCCGATTCGATTCGACTTGGGATTCCGATTTGGGTTCCGATTTCTTCTTGGAGACATACTAGCCTGCCGATTTCTGCCGATTCGACTTTTCCCGACTCGGCCGCCGATGTCTGCCGATCCGATTCATTTCGATCGCCGATCCGAGTTATCGATTCGATTCTGGGCTCTCCTGCCCCCTCTTTCACCCTCCGAAGCAGCCAGACGACGGGGCGGCTGGGGGTCTGCGGTGGCCCGGGGTCGGTTCCCGTCGAGCGCGTCGCCTTCCTGGCCACGGACGGCCACGGCCACGGCGGGCTGGGCCCACAGCAGGGGTCGAGTCCCCACGAGGAGGGGGAGGAGGAGGAGGGGGAGGAGGAGGAGGAGGAGGAGCAAGGAGGAGGAGGAGCACGGAGGAGGAGGAGGAGGGGGTGCAAGGAGGAGGAGGAGGAGGAGGAGGAGGAGGAGGAGGAGGAGGAGGAGGACGGTTTTGGGTTTCTTCTGTCTCTCTCGGCCTCCTGGGGCCATTTTTGGGCCCAGGGGCTATCGAAAACGGATCTGGGGTGACAAATGCACCAGGTGGGCTTCGTCAAGGCTGCCCTCGCATCCATGCTTCCTCGGCCCTTCGTGCGTCCATGTGGACGTCCAAGACGCTCTAGATAAGTAAGTGGTACTTCCAGGGGCCTTGCATCCTCACCTTGCACCCTTCCCCTGGGCTTTGGCTGTGCAGTCAAGGCTCCGAAATCAGGACGCACCTTCGGCTCGAGTGGGGCTCTGGTTTTCGGGCCTGCCCGTGAATCTGCATCGGGAGCCTCTTCGTCTCGTCGTGGGGGCATAGGTAAAGGCGCATTCGTTCCCGACCTGGCGTTCCTCACGGTAGCACTGTGGAAGTCGACTAATGGAGAGGAAGCAGGCTGCCAAGTCATTTCCAGATGTCTAAAGCATGTTTCAAACATGTGTTAAACAGGTAGACCGCATCTTGCAAACCTGTTTAGAGCATGTTTCCAACATTTTAAGCACATTTTAAGTTCAATGATAGGACTGTTAGGGTGTCCATTGTCGTGGCATCCACAACTATACGCGTGAGATGAGTGCCAATGTCATGGCGCCAACAGCGCAGAGCGGATTTCGTTCGGAAAACGATGGGATGGGCCAGGCTTGTCATGGAGAATGTCGCTCCGGATTTCGAGGTAAATTCCGTGTGGATTGCTTTCGGCCAGGAATGAAGACCAAAACAAATCCACGCGAAATTCGTTTCGTTTTTCGCTTGCCATTTCGGGGTTTTGCATTGACAGGAATTCACGCAAAAATCGCTGCAGCACGTCTGCAAGGTCGGTGCAGTGACCAGTGGGAAGCGTCAGTGATGAGATTGTGACGCCTCTTTTGATTTGGGAGCCTTCCATGACGACTCGTGCCGATCCCGTCCCGTTCGCAGGGGCGTCGCATCCCCCCTGTGATGGTGGGATGGGAAGGCGAGCCGTGGTGCCAGGCTCGTGGGGATTCTGTTTGCCCCCGTGGCTCCGATCCAAGACATCCGCGCGGACCTCCGACTTGTGATGCCGTTTTTTTTCCCCCCCAGGACGTGGAGTTACCAGCCTGGAACATATCCCTATCCCTATGCTGGGCACCTCCTCATCACGATGCCAATCTTAGGGATTCCCTTATTTTTTGAGGGCGCATCCCGAAGATTGTCATCGCCTTTTGGCGTGTTAATCGTAGGGACAGGGATATGTTCCAGGCTGGTAACTTCTGATGCCGTATACTTCCCCCCCAGGACGTGGAGGGCGGCGTGTTCACGCCTGGGGCCCTCTTCTACAAGTCCGGCCTGGTGGGGAGGCTCAAGAAGCATGGGCTGCGCTTCGAGGTGGTGAGGTCCAACATCCCGTCGTGACCTGAGGGCGCGGACGACCTGTGTGCTTATTATCGGGGGCGGAAAAGAGGGAGGTGATGACTTAGGGGGGGGTGGATATCATGGCGGGGGCCATGATATCTCCCCAGATCTCAGGGCGCCTCTTCTTGATTCGTTACGTCCCCGGCCCCCCCGCTGGGCCGCGCACATGCCGCCGGTCATGATTTGCACACCCCCTTCGTGGACACCCCCTTCTTGGCCGCTCCCGAGCTTAGTACCGCGTTGGACTCTCCTGAGGCGTCGATCCTCGACCCAGGAAGGGTGCGGTGCACAGCTTTTCGGCCCTCGGGGCCGCACAAAACTATGAAGCGTACCGCGTTGGAGCAGGGCCTGAAGGGAGTCCGAACACGGTACGGTGCATGAACGCCGTTCTCGTACGGGCGGACTGAGGTATACGAGGTCGGTTCGGGGAGGGTACCCTAATGTTCTTCGTGCTTGTTGAATGCTCTTGTGCATCCTGGGGAGGGTACCCTTGGACCCGTGGATGTTATGTTTGTTTTGGCCGACGGAGGGTCTCATGTTCTGGAAGGATGCTGTTCTGGCCTAGGTCCGACTGTACGGAGAGCGCTAGCGGCACCCACGTACATTGGGATGCAACTCCTGGGAGGTCGAACTCTGATTTTGCACCGATCTGCCCCACACGGGGCTTCCTCCCCCTTTCTCTTCCCGACGAAAGCCTCCCAGCAGTTGCCTCCCAACGCACCCCTGGCCAGGCCGACAGGCGCGTATGCCTTCCCGGCCAAGTCTTTGCCCTGTGGAGCGGCTCGGGTCGGCTCGCGCTGCGACAAAAAAAAAGGGCCCCCCCCCGCTCGGACGTCACAGGGTGGCTCGCCCCGCCGCCGCAGGACCCACGCCGTGCCAGTGTCACGGCGGACGGGTGGACTGCACCGAGTGCAGGTCGGGAGCGGAAAAGAGGGGGGTGACGACTAGGGGGGGGTGGATATCATGGCGTGGGCCATGATATTTCCCCAGATCTCATGGCCCCCCTTCTTATTTCATCACGTCCCTGGCCCCCCCGCTGGGCCGCGCACATGCCGCCGTGCATGATTTGCACCCCCCCCTCTTGGACACCCCCCTCTTGGTCGCTCCCGAGCAGTCGGACTTGGTTGGACAGGACACGCGAGAGGACACAAGACCCTTCCGAGGGCCACATTGCCACAGGCATGTAAGAGGCATGGGTCGCGAGGCACAGGGCACAAGAGTACCCTTGATTTGGCAGGGTCGACCTCCTAATCCGCGCAGACGGTCGTGCGACCCGCTTCCGCCAGTGAAGGAGAGCAGCAAGTTCTTCTGGCATCTCTTCTCTGTGCACCGCAGGCCCCAGGACCTGCAGGACATTCCCGATCAGCAGTGTGACAGCAGAGGGCTTTGGGTCACCGTTCTCCCACTCAATCTCGCCGATGACGACCTGCGGAATCTGGTCCGCCGGCAGTTTCAACGCCTGCCCGGGTGTCAAGAATTCCCCCCGGATCCCTCAGAAGCGTGTTCCGATTGGGGATTAAAGACCTCAGTGCCAGGGACAGGAGTGAATTCAACATACGCAACGTTTTGTTCAGAACTTCCATTATCTTTTTTATGTGTGCGCGCTCGCCAGCATACCCGTGGTGCTGGAGCATCCGGCCAAGAGCCACAGAGCAAACGCCCCGTCTATTTGGCTCCTTCCTGAGATCAGTCGTCTTATCTCGCATGCGTGCGTTAGTAAGCTGGACATTCACCAGTGCCGTTTCGTGTCCTAGACATTTAAGCCTACATCGTTGTTGTGTGTGCATGCCCCAGCCGTGTCGGCGGTCACCAGTTCTCAGCATTCAGGAGTTAAGTGTGCCAGGGATAATCGGCACCTGACTGCGCGGGCCCGACACGTTGGCGAGTGGCCAGTGCACAAGCTAAATCATTTCCACCAGAGTTGTGCCGCATGCTTGCGTCTTCGCTTGCTCGCGAGATCGGGGCCAGGTCTCTGGACTTGTGGGGCGGGAGGGGTTCTTTGGAGCCTCCTGCTGCCCGTCAGCATTTATATGTGCCCGTCGATCCCTACTTGGGTCGTGTGACGGTGGCGGACCTCCGGGGCCATTCGCTTCGTGGTTAGTGCCCATCGAACCATCGTCACTGTCCCTGATCTCTTTCTCTCACTCCGTGTTGCATTGCCTTGGATATACTCATTTGTATTCAGGTTGGCATGCGTGAGCAGGAGGAGGAGGAGGAGGAGGAGGAGGAGGAGGAGGAGGAGGAGGCGATGTGGTCTGGGTGGGAGGGACTCTCTCCTGGTTGTGGGCCTGGCTGTGTTGGAGGTGGTTTGGGTCGTCGGCGTCGTCGTCGTCGTCGTCGAATGAGGAGTCGGAGTGCGGTGGGTTCTTGCCGTATCGACGCGGCGGCGATCCCAGCGCGGACGTTCAAGGCTGAATTCCGACCGCTTGATTCGGTTTCATCCGGCTCAATCCTGGACGTAATGTGGGCTGGTCTGGTGCAATGGCGCCCACTCGGGCGTACTAGATCTTACTTGCTCTTACATAAACTATCCCGGATTTGCCCCGTCCTCTTCTGAGTCCTTCTCCTCGTTCTCGTCGGCAAGTCCCTTTGTTCCTCCTCCCTTTCCTCCTCCTCCTCCTCATCCGTTCGCGGGACCGCAGGCGGCCTCTTTCGGAACGGGCAAAAACACAGGGCGGCAATTCCCAGGCTGGAGCACACCAGCCGTCTTCTGAAAGTGAGCCCGCCGCAGGAGGTAACAGGCGTGTCCAGGTGCCCGACAGAGCCGTGGGCCAGGGAACCTCACGGACGGAGGCCAGGCACAACTGTTGCTTGGTGGACTGCCTCCAGATTTTTGGAGAAGGTGATGACGACGCCACAAGCCTCGGCGCCAAAAACTCGGCAGCGGAAGACCGGCGATCCGGAACACTCAGGAGGGACAAAAAACACACAGACACAATTAATCGTCGATCCCCCAGAAAATATTGGAATTGGTGGGGAGGATAAAAACCTAGAAAATATGGGAAAATATGGGGAATCTTTTTATTTGTGTGTATTTATTTGTGTGTCCCAGGGCCGCCTCAAACACGAAGGGAGGGGAGGGCTGGCATTTTCTCGCAGGGGGGCCCTGTCGCGGGCCCACGTGGCGGCCCTTCTTGCACCGCTGCGTGGTGCAAGAGGGTCCCCTCCGAGGGGTCTCCCCCTGGGGTCTTGTGTCGGGGGTGGACAGACCTCCTACCCTGACACGTCGATTAGTGAATTGGTCGTTTTCGGTTCGCGGGAGGGCGTCCCGTCCGTCATTTTTGCGGGTCCAGGTCCGTCGGTTTCGGTCCCATGCCGTTTCACTAAAGGGAGGTTTACTAAAGGGAGGTTTGTCCACCGCCGATTGTGGCTGACCACAGAGCCTCTCTCTGTCTTCTCTCCTCCTCCAGTGGCGTGCGATCCTCCTCCCCTTCTTCCTGCTTGCCCTCCTCTCCTCCCGAGAAGGCGCGGCGGTCTGAGCTGGGGGGGGGGGGCTCCTAAAGCCGGCGGTGCGACCACGGGGAAAGCAGAGGGGGCGGGCCTTCTCAGTAGGATCAGGAGGCCTCTGGCCTTCTCCGAAGCCGCAGGTGACGCCCCAGAAGGCTAGAGCCCGTCTGAAACGCCCCGCCGCCTTCCGAGAGGGCATGCTCCTTCGAGCTTCCCTCTCGGTGCGCCGCCAAGTTTGGTTTTGGTTTTCGAGTTGTAGCCTGGGCCTCCGGCGGCCGTCCGGGACGATCTGGGCACCCTCGACGAGCTCTCGGCGAGGCGCAGTCGCTGGAAGGCATCCCGAGACTGGAGAGTCGCCCGGAGGGCACGAGAACGCCCGAAGACTTCAGGCAGCGGACCGGGAACCCCCAGACCTCCCCTCCCCCTGGGCGCGCCGCCGGGTAGCGCTGGGGGGGGGGCCTCCCGGAAACCGTCCGCCACCCCGCGAGAGAGCGCGACGCGGCCCCGCGCGGGCCGCGCCAGGGTCCTCGAGAGCAGCCGCGCCGAGCCCAAGAAGGCCGCCTCCCCTCGGGGCCCGGGTGGGCCCGCGTGGCCGCCTTGCTCGGCGGGCCGCCGTCGCCGGGGTCGCGCGGCGACGGCGGCCCTCCTCTTCGTCCTGCTCCTCGTCCTCGTCCACCCCCATCCCTGCTTCTCCTTCCTCTTCCTCCTGCTTCTTCTCCTGCCTCTCCCTCCTCCTCCGCCGCCGCCTCCTCCCTCCCTCCTCCTCCATCTCTCACATCCCCACCCTCCCTCCCTCCTTCCTCCGCCCCTTTCGTTCTCTTCTCTTCTGCGGGGCCACCCTCTCGTCTCATATCTGCCTCTCCTCGTTCTTCTCCTCCCCCCTGCCTCCTCCTCCGCCGCCTCCTCATCCCTTTTGCTTTGAGCAGGCGCGGCGCACGAGGCGCGTCGCGACCTGGAATTTGAGTATATAGGAGCAACACGTATGATGGACTTGGCGAAGTCCACCTGGCAGGCGCCGCGGAACATGCAGGACAAAGAGTACGGCGAAGAGTACAGTCGGGGCCCTGAAGAAGGAACCCTTTTCGTTGGGGAGGGGCTCCGCGTTCCTTAAGTGTTTCGCAGCTTGCCTCAGGTTTTCCTTAGGTTTCCGATGGGGAGTCGAATGTTAACCTTTGGAAAAAAGGGGCCTCGTTCCTGATTTAAGGTTCCTTAGGTCAGCGCCCCGACTGTAGGCGCCTGCCAGGTGGTAGTACTCGGCGATCCTGACCTTCGTATGCCGCAAAACTTGAGCATTTTTCTTGTACAGGCCAGCCGAGAGGAAGCATCTAAGAACCCCCCAGGGTTATCTTAGCACCGCAAGTTCATTCCATATTCCACGGGGGCACTTCCGCGGAGCAATCTCTTTAGCACCGCGCGCAAACAACCCAACACAATCCAAATCGGTGGCGGCCCCTACGGGGCCAAGAATGGAATTCGCAGGGAGTGTCAAGGATCTTGCTAAGATCCCTGTGGCTTCCTAGGGAATGCCAGGAGTGTGGCTCAGATCTTTAGGGATTCCCAGGGAGTGCTAGGGATCTGGGTAGAATCCCGGAGCATTCCTAGGGAATGCAAGGGATTTGGCTCAGATTTCTTCAGCAATTTCTAGGACATGAAGATCTGGTGCATATCCCCAGGTAGTCCAGGGGAGTGCTGGGCATTTGTTTCAGTTCCTGTGTGCGTGTGGATACGCGTACGTTGTGTGTGTGTGTATATGTATATGTGCGCACGTTCGAAGGCCCATTTCAAAGCCATGCCTCCTGTTTCGCCGGGCCAGCGTGAAATTCCTGAGGTTGCCTCTGGAGAGTTCCGAGAAGCCCCAAGACAGCCCAGGACGACCAAACCTATTGCAGGTTTTTCGTTGGAATGTCGTCGTTGTTGTCCTACACGATTCCTATTGTAATCCCCTTGCAGAGATGGCTGATGGTTGGCCGTCGTCGGGGGTGGTACACTCCAGGGTATCGCCCCCCCTCCCCACCCGCACCGAAGCGTTATCGTAGCACCCAGCAAAGCGGCACAAACATCCCGAGCCAGGGCTATGGGTGCGTCTCAGTGTACATCGCAGTCGCATTGGTTCTGAATGCTAATCAGCCTAAGCGTTGCTGAATACTATTCCGCAGGAATTGTTACGTGACATCCTGCGGAATGCCAGGGATCTTCTAAAAACAATCGCAGGATTTCTTAAAGAGCGCAAAGGAATTTCGAAGCACATGATGTGAATTTCCAAGGGAGTTCGACGGTGTTTCCTATAAGCCATGGATATCCCATGACATGCTACGGATGGCCTGGGAAATGCGAGGGATGTCTTGGGACATTCAAAGGACACGTTAGGAATTCCTTGGAATTCCTCTGGATGTCTGGGACATGCGAAGGATTTCCTAAGACAAGTCAGTGTTTTTCCAGGAAATGCTAGGTATTCTTGCCAAGTGTGCCTGTGTCTGTGTCTGTGTCTGTGTGTGTGTGTGTGTGCGTGTGCGTGTGCGTGTGCGTGTGCGTGTGCGTGTGTGCGTGCGTGTGTGTGTGTGTATGTGTGCGTGTGTGTGTGTGTGTGTGTGTGTGTGTGTGCGTGCGTGTGCTGTGTGTGTGTGTGTGGGTGGGGGGGGGTGGGGGGGCTGGGGGTGGGTGGGTGTGGGTGTGGGTGTGGGTGTGGGTGTGGGTGTGGGTGTGTGTGTGTGTGGGTGTGGGTGTGGGTGTGTGCGTGTGGGTGTGGGTGTGGGTGTGGGTGTGGGTGTGGGTGTGGGTGTGGGTGTGGGTGTGTGTGTGTGCGCGCGCCAGGCTCTCTTCCGCACTGGCAGCGTGTCCTACCGCTGCGCACTGCCGCCCCTTTTTTTGCCTGCCCCTACCTTTGCCCGCCTTCCTCGTTGATGCCTTCGCCGCTCCCCCCAACCCTCCCCTCACTTCTCCCCACGACTCTGTCGTGCTCCCACCTCGCCCGATGCTCCCTTTCGGGGTCGAGCGCTCCGCGCCTCCCTGTGGATGAGGCCGCGGGCCCCTCTTCGGAGGTGCGATGGCCGAGGCGCGCGTCGGCCGCGGACATTGGCCGCTGGGTCTTTAGACGGCACGTTGCCGCGCATGCGCTTGCGGAGGGAAAACCGCGAGAGTCCGAGGATGGCTCAGCAGTGCTTCGTAGAGCTTCGCAGGGCTCAGCGGTGGCCAGCAGAGCTTTGCAAGGCCCCGAGTGCCCTCCGGAGGCCCTCCAGGTGCCGAGGTAACGCTTCCAAGGTGCCGGAAGCGTCATGACCGGAAGGGGGGGGTGAAATGCTTTTCGCGCTCCGGTTAGGTGCAAGAAAGTACGAGCTGGCCCAGGTGGTGCCGGCAGCAAGAATAGATGTGCAATGCATCGTTCACTTGCAGTGGGTACTGCGAAGCGGTCTGAAGAGTCTCCCCGCCCGCTGATCCGAAGTATCACCACCACCACCCCGCATAAGAGATGCAACCCTTGTCTAGGCAAAGCGGGTGTCTGGGCCTTTGTTCCCGCAAAATGTGAAGGGATGCGAAATTGTATCCTGGCGGAAGTACGTTTTGGGACGATGCTTGTATTCGGGCACGGTTGGAAGTTTTTGCTTGACAGTTGCAACAGCATGGTGGAGTGGAAGAAGAAACATGAGCGGCGCTTCATCGACACCGTTTGCACGCGATGGGAAC